TTTTAGTCAGTGAGGAAAGGTGGGTTAGTTTTTAAGTATACTTCGAGTGCAGAGAGACAGAAGGCTTATCGGAGGAGGAAGATGCAAAAGAAGATAGAGGCTGGATTAGTGAATGGGGTTTTGAATATGGAGACGGGGAGAGTGAGGAAGTGGAGGAATAATGCTAGTAGGCAGAGGGGGTGGCGGGAGAGGAGGAAATTTAAAAACTAAGCAAAGTTTTCTCCATGTAACTGCAAGTCTTGACGATTGAGTTCACTATTATGAATAATCCTATGTACCGATATACAATACATGTAATTTTTCACCTCACATCTATCACCAGTATTTTCATGCTCTTGAACATAATCAAGTAAAATACAAACTGGTTGAGCTCCGATTATATGATGACCCCGACCATGGCCACTATAATAGGGATAGTAAACTGGGGAACCCCGGTCACAATTAAATTCATCAGTGCGATATGGAGCAGGACCATTTAACCGAACCTTAATCAATCCTTGATAATGATCCTCTGGATCGTACAAATCAACTTCAGCCACAGGCACATTACCAATTCCAAGAACAGCTTTAATATAAATAGGTCATTTTCAAGGATTAAAGGTAATTAGGTTTGTTGATGGGTGTTCGATGGTTCCACACCTATGGCCAGAACAACCTCCATGTCAACAAAGTTCTTGCCCAGCAGACAATCCACCTTGCGGACGTGCTTGATTATATACATCTGCTACTGCTTCCTCTGAAACTGGCATTTGGGTACTTATATCATCATCTCATAAAACACGTTCATCATTATTAGGAAGTAATCTGACAAGAGCATAACTTAGACCACTAGCGGGTTCGTGTTTAAGACTGCCAACTGACCCGATTCTAATCACTTCTTCGGCTTGATTCCGATGACGAACATGAAAAGCAGCATAACCTCTTTCTTGTTTATCACTAGGAAGACAACCACCAAGAACTAAAAATCCATGGTCAAATTTAAAACGAGCATTACCGCGAACTCCTTTTGCCGCAAAACCAAGAGTACATAGTGTGCCAGGTCTATGAATTAGAGCATTAGAAGAAACAAAAAAATCAAGTCCCGCATGAGTAATTAAAACTTGCCGTTGTTGCCTCTCAACCAGATTAACATCTGAAACATTTGAATTGGAAGTTAAATTATCAGTCAAAGGAACATTATTTAAATTCTTCTCATTATTAGGTTTCTCAGGCTTTGGCAGTAAAAAAGATATAGCATTTTTCAAAATTAATGTCAGTTTTCATAATCAAAAGCACTTTTAAAATAATTCCTCAAATCGTGTTTCTT